TAGCTCAAAATTTCCCAAACATGGGAATGGAAACTGAGATACAGATAAGTGAAGCATATAGAACTCCAAATAGCCATAACCAAAATAAAACTACACCCAGACATGTAATAATCAACATCCCAGTAATTTAATGTAAAAATAGAATAACTAAACTGTTAAAGAGAAGAGACAGATCACCTATAAAGGAAAGCCTATGAGAATCATAGCAGATTTCTCAATACAAACAATGAAGTCAAGAGGAGCAGGGGGTGAAGTATTTCAGATCTTAACTGAAAAGGACTTCCAACCCAGATTGATGTACCCTGCAAAACGATCCTTCAAAATTGATGGACAAATATGATACATCCACAACAAAGAACAGATGAAGCACTTTGTGACCACCAAACAAAGCCTACAAAAAAATACTGAAGGACATTCTAGATAGACATAAGGAAAAAAAACCATTAAGCAAGGTAGACAGTTAAACAGAGGGGAAAGGTAAGGAACCATCAGCAGAAAGATAACATGACAAAAATAAACCAATGTATGTCAGTTGTAACCATTAATGTAAATGGCCTCAGTTCACCAATTAAAAGAAACAAGACTGGCAGAATGGGTCAAGAAACAACATCTAACCATATATTGTATACAGGAAACCCATCTAACCCAAAAGGAACTAAAAGTCAAAGGAGAGAAAACAATACTTTATGTATAGGAACCCCAAAAAGCAAGGATAGCTATTCTGTTTGCAGACAATGTGAACTTCAAACCAAGAATGATCAAAAGAGATAATGAAGGTCACTACATACTAGTTCGGGAAAAGCTTCAAGAGGAAGAGATAACAATCCTAAATATCTATGCACCAAATTTGGCAGCACCCCGCTATACAAAACAAATATTAACAGAAATGAAAAATCAAATAAACAATAATACAATTATAATGGGAGACCTTAACACCCCATTAGCACAAAGAGATCAACTATACAGAAAATCAGCAAAGAAATAACAGAACTGAATCACACCTGTGAACAAATAGACCTACTGGACGTGTACAGAGTGTTCCACCCAACAACATCAGAATATACATTCTTATCAGCAGCATATGGGACATTCTCTAAAATAGACCATATGCTAGCCCATACAACATGCTTGAGTAAATGCAAAAGAATTGAAATTATCCCATGCATGTTATCTGATCATAGTGCCATGAAACTAGAAATTAATGACAAAAGAAACTGCAAAAGCTCCACAAACACAAGGAAATTAAGTAATACACTCCTGAGCAATCAGTGGGTCATACAGGAAATTAAAGAAGAAATTAAACAATATCCACAAGCAATTGAAAATACAAATATAACTTACCGGAACCTGTGGGTTGCAATGAAAGCAGTCCTCAGAGGAAAATTTACTGTGGTGAATTCCCACATCAAGAAAACAGAACAAACACAAATTAACAACCTGATGCTACACCTCAGACATCCAGATAAAGATCAAGCCCAAAGCCAAAAGAAGGAACGAAATTATAAAGATCAGAGCAGAAATCAATGCACTAGAGACTAAGAAAACAATACAAACAATCTATGAAACAAAGAGTTTGTTCTTTGAAAAATTAAATCAAATAGATAAGTCTCTAGTCAACCTTATTTTAAAAAGGAAAGAAAAAATGCAAATTAATACAATAAGGAATGAAAAAGGTGAAATCACTACAGACCCTGTGGAATTACAGAAGATCATCAATACCTACTTTGAAAACCTCTACTCTTATAGGTTCAATAATAACACAGAAGAAATGGACAGATTCCTAGAAACATATGAAGTACCAAAACTGGGTCAGGAAGATGTAAATCTGCTGAATAACCCAATTTCAATTAATGAAATTAAAAATGTAATTAAATCCTTGCCAACAAAGAGTCCAGGCCCAGATGGATTCACCGCAGAATTCTACAAGAAAGTCAAATACTTAATAATGACACTCCTCAAACTCTTCAATGAAATTGAAACAATTCCTAACTCATTCCTGGAAGAAAGTATTACTCTAATATCAAAACCAGAGAAAGAAACAACCAAAAAAGAGAGCTACAGGCCAATCTCCCCAATGAACATAGATGCAAAAATGCTCAATAAAATACTGGCAAACAGAATGCAGCAAATCATCAAGAAGATTATACACCACAACCAAGTGAGATTCATCCCAAGAATTCAGAGATGGTTCAACATATGCAAAACAATAAATTAATCCACCATATTAACAGAGTGAAAAACAATAATCACACGATCATTTCTATAGATGCAGAAAAAGCTTTTGACAAGGTCCAACACTCATTCATGATAAGAACACTACAGAAAATTAAAATAGTCTTTACCTCAATATGAAAAAAGCCAACTATGACAACCCAACAGCCAGTATCATATTAAATGGCCAAAAACTGAAAGCTTTTTCTTTAAAGTCAGGAACAAGATAAGGATGTCCATTATCGCCAATCCTGTTCAATATAGTGCTGGAAATGTTAGCCAGAGCAATTAGAAAAAAGAGAGAAACAGTGGTTAAGAGTATGAAAAGAAGAAGTTAAATTATCACTATTTGCAAATGACATGATACTATCCATAGATTTCTCCCAAAGTTCATTGAAAGACTTCTAGATGTAATAACTAAATTCAGTAATGTTGCTGGATACAAAGTCAGTGCTCAAAAATCAATAGCATTCTATACACAAGCAATAAATTCAGTGAAAGAGAAATAAGAGAAGCTATACACTTCACAATACATCCAAAAAATAAAATACTTAGGATAGGCTATGCCTATCACCATGCACTAGACTAAAGCCAAAATAGATCAAGGATTTAAATATTAAAACAGAAACACTAGATCTGCTGGAAGACAAAATAGGTGGAAATCTTGACGACATAGAGGTAGACAGAGAATTCATGAACAAAAATCAAACCACATGGGAAATACTTCACAGAATGAATTACCGGGATCTCACCTTATTAAAAAATTTTGCATGTCAAAAGAAATCGCCAACAAAGTATAAAGAAAACACATGAATTTTTTAAAAATCTCAGTGAACTTTCCCTCAAAGGACTGTTATCTTGAATATATAAAGAATTTTTTTTAAAAAAAGGCCCCCAAAATTCAAAGACCCAGTCCAAAAATGGGCATCTGAGATGAATAATACAGTTCTCAGATGAAGAAATACAAAATGACAAATAAATACATGAAAAAAAATGTTCAGCATCATTGGTCATTACAGAAATGCAAATCAGAACCACATTGAGATTCCATCTCACTACAGAAAGAATGGCTAGGATCAAGAAGACTACCAACAACAAACGCTGGAGAAGCTGTGGAAAAAAAGGAACAGTCCTGCACTGCTGGTGGGAGTGTAGACTGGTGGAGGTCAGTCTGGAGATTCCTCAAAAAGCAGGGATTCTAAGTCCCATTTGTTCCAGCTATTCCACTTCTGGGCATATTCCCAGAACTGAAAGCATCATACCACAGTGATATATGTGCACCCATGTTTATAGCAGTACAATTTGTAATAGCCAGATCTTGGAAACAACCTAAGTGCCCATCAACTGAGGAATGGATAAAAAAGCTGTGGTGTTTTTATACAATGGAGTACCACTCGGCTATAAAGAATGATCACACAGAGATTTTTATAGGTAAATGCGTGCAACTTGAGACCATACTCATAAATGAAATAAATCAACTCGCATGTGTAAATACCATATTGTCTCCCTACTGTAAGACATGGTAAGAGTACATAACATACAAAATCCTGAATAAATATAGTTAAAGGGTAATAATAAGCTCAAAGGGAAAAAAGAACTCAGGGAAAAGCAGAAAAAAAAGGAAGGGAAAAGAAAAAATATCTAAATTTGTATTAGACAGCTAAGATGATTGTGCTACAAATTCTGTTAGTTCTTGGAACAAAACAGATAACATTCATAGGATTGGACCAATTTTGCATGTTTGTGTCTGGTGATCTGAGGAATTCTTCTGAAGATTACTATGTAAAATAACAACATTAGGTTTTGAAGGCCTATATCATCACTGTTTTGGGCTCTTTGCTATTGTTATTTATTTGTCTTTTTGTTTCTTGCCTTTCTAGCAATTTGGCTTTTTTTTTTCCCTCTAATGCAGAAAGGATGGATGCACATGCCTAGAACTTCTCCTAAACAGTTTACGAGAATTGGTTGTATTATGCATAATGATATGAACAGCTACTTTGAAGAAAAAGAGACATTATGGTATCTATTGTTGATTTCCTATTATTATGCTGTGAAAACCAGTAATACTTTTATTCTTTGTTTAGAGTGGTTTTAGTCTATTTTGTATTATTTAATTTCAACATACATGAAGGTATGGATAGCGATTTTGAAGAGAACAAGAGACATTATGGCAGCCACAGTTGATTTTCCTACTGTCTGGTTTAGAAGGCTCATAATGCCTTCATTACTCTGTTTTGATCAGTTTTATACTACTCTGCTTTGTATGAATTCATTGTGTGAAGATATAGACAACTATTTAGAAGAAAACAAGAGACGTTATGGTAGCCACTGTTGACCTCCAGATGTCCTGCTTTGAAATCTGGGTCACTTACATTGTTCTCTTCCAATTTGCTTTGTTCTGTTTTGTTATGCTTTGTTTTACCCTCTTTAAAAAAAAAAAAGACAGCCACCAAAAAAAAAACTTGAAAGGAGACTTCCAGAATGACTTCATAAAGTGATAAGACTGATGGGATAATTGTGTCCAAAGCAAGGGGAATTAATCAGCACAATGCACCATTTACTGTAATAATTTTCAAAATTTTTATTTTAATCATTCACCACATCTTCTGACCACACCACTTATGTTCTACCCACTTAAATTTAGTCTAAGCAAAGATGTTTTACAAAAATGCTTAAAATAAATGTTTAAAAAGAAAAATAAAGCCCCTGGAATTAAAAAGAGATATCAAATATACTATTTCATGATCTCAGGTCATCTTTCACATGTGTAAGCAAACTTTAGATCTCACCTGTTAGATGTAAAATTGTAATAGCCACTTTCTTCAAGGACTTCTTCAATCACAGTCTAAAATTGAAAAACTGATCAGTTTAGCAGTGAATTAAAAGCAACAAAATAAAACTATTTAGAAACACAGCAAAAACCTCACCTGCATCTGTTCATATGTTATTCCCTCCTCCAAATCAAAGCTGGTGGGGAGACCTGAGGTAGATGAATGAGTAAACGTGTGACTTTCAGTTTCCATTTTATTTATGCTTTATTAGCAACTGTGACTTCAATTGCAGCAAAAAAGAGATCAAATTCTTAATGATTAAGATGAGACTTAAAACCCAGAGTGATCCTCTTTGAATAATCAAATTCTTTGTCTCTATTTAATAATTGGTCACTTTGGTCATCAAAACCGTATGAAGATTTAGGAGCGCTGCTGCCAGTATAAATTAAATTAGAGCTGGAGTGGGGGGTGAGTTTTTTGATTAAGAAATTCACATTAGGCCACAGGCAAAAAGAGTAAAAATGTACTAGAAAGAGAATAGTTTCTCATAGCAAGGCAGAAAAAGAGCAAAAGGTAACAAAGATCTGACCCTTGCATGTAACTACCTAGAAAACAGTACACGCGGTGCCAGAAGACGTGTCCGCCATGGATGGTCTGAATGTGATACAACAGCACCTTAACACATCCCAAGGCAATGTTCCCCCCAGCACCGATCAGCACTGACTTAACAGTGCTGGGGAGTTCCTGTATTTCTTTGGGGAGAATAAAGAGAATGAGCTATAGATTGAGGGACTGCACAAAGACATGAGGAGTGGTGGCTTATTTTTTGAAGTCAGCTTTGAAGGTGTTTCTTGCACAGAGTTCGCAAATTCTGTCGTCTTTGCTTCTGCCAAGCCTGAAGTGAGGACTCCTCGGCTCTAAGGTGAGAAATTCAGCTGTCCTGGGAGGCACTAATCAAATACTCTTAGGCTTTCAAGACTCCTATCAGAGTTCTTCATCTCATTTGCTACTATAAGGAGAAGTCCAGACCATGGACGAACTTAACCTGTTCTGGGAAAGGCTTGAATTAAAGTGTGTTATGTACACTTACTAATTTCCTGTAAGAAATGTAAGCATTATATACTGCAAACGTACAATAAACATAATTTTTTTTAAAAATGGAGCAAATGAGTTTAGATGACATTTTACCTTGATTTTAAGAACCTTTCAAGATCCACTTTAAATGAAGTTCTGTCTACATGGGGATAAGTTTTATTTTAGCAGTTGGACAGTTTGATAATACATAAAATAATTTATATAGGCAACATTTACAAAATGAGTGTTTTTCTAAGCTGAAAAGATGTCAATTCTTCATTTAACTTTAAAAGTTTCATCTCTGTCCATTCCACTGAGTGAGGTAACTATAGCTTATGAGGGTTCAACAACTAGGAATTTTGAAACCTCAGAGAAGTTGGAACACTTCTGAGGATTCAAACACAATAAGAACAGTGCAATTAGGCTGAGCCTGTACTAGTAGCCAGGCATTTTTTATGTTCACGTAACACTTCCTATAACTCTTTGGTGTTGGCATTATTATTTTCAGATCTTGTTCATTATTCATTATTTTATTACCATATTCTTTCCATTTTACAGGAAAGGACAGCGAAGTTCAGAGATGTTAAGGAATTTTTCCATGGTCAGTCACTGAACGGTTGAACTGGGATTTAAATCTAGGCCTGTAGGTTTCCAGAATCAATGGCTTTAGTTCCCATGCTATAATGCCTCCCTATGTGACATTTATAATAAAAGAATATAAAATTAAATACATTTGATGTGAATTCTTCAGGTAAATTGCACATTTTCTCTATTTTGAATATTTAAACTTTCCATTTCTAATCTCCCCAGACGCTTTTGGACATTTGATTTCACATTATTAGACAAACAAGAAGAAATAAAAGGAAATTGAATTCACCAGCATAGATTCTACCATTTGTTTATGTTATTAATAAATGATCAAAGATGCTGACATACTATGTAAAATTAATCTCAGGGAATTTCTACATCCTTTACAAATATCCCTTCTAACTATTGCCACAGGTAACAAAGCTCTGTTTCTCTTTTAAGTTGGAGATGGTACTTTAGGATTAGCTGCTGATCCAAACTATTTTTTTGTGAAAGCCACATTATCCAGACTCATGACTCTTACCTGTGGGGTCATTTGGGGACAGGCTGTTTTCACCTGATGAATGATGTAATAAATGGTAATCTGCTGTGAAAAAGTTCGGTTCAATTGGTTCTGGAGATCCCTGAGATAACTGAAATAAAAGAAAAGAAAAATCACATCTTATTTTGCATGTAGAAGTAAATGACAGGAGACTTCTGTCTGGGGCTTTCCATTTTCCTATGTCTCTGCATAGAAAATTTAGTGCTCTGGGGTTTTCAATCTTGTAAATAGATAAACATCTTCTTCCTTCTGAAAGAACTTATAAATTGGAAGCCAGCAAATTATAATGAAAGCAAGTTAGACAATTCCCTAGCCATATGAAGAAAAATACAGTTTATAGATTTATGAAAGCAAAAAAAAATGGATAGGAAAATAATGGCATGGGCTTGGGATATCAAGATATTATTTTTTAATCAGGAGTAGGAGGAATAAACGCCAATTATTCAACTGAACAATATGTTTAGTCTAAATCACAATCTTTTTTCCAAGAATCTTCTCTGAACAATGCCTTCCTCTTTGGCCAAAGCCAACATGCTTTTTAATACACTTTTCTAAATTACTATTAATTAGTTTCAATCTCCAAACTTCAGTTCTTAATATGCTGAAGAAAAGAGTAATTCAACCAAAGACAGAATTTATTAAAATTCAAATTGCTTAATGCTTTTCTACAAAGCTGAATTTTTAAAATGGAATTTTAGGCTATAAATGTTTTTCAAATCCTTTTACTTTTAATTCCAATCAACACTTAGCTTGCAAAATTTTAATGCTTGAGTTAATAGGACATACTTTTAAAATGTTAAATTTTAATAAACCATAAACAAATGACACAATTTGAGCTACATAATAATACCTACTTTGGATTCACATACCCTGCTTATGAATTAAAATGTGCCATTGTTCAATCATTACAGGAACCTGCCACTGTATACTACAATGAAACAACATACACCTACCTTTGACCCTGCAATCTCACTCCTAATGACAGGTTGGAAAAAAATGAGTATATACATCCATCAAGAGATATGTGTAACAATGTTCATAATGCCTTATTCATAATAATTAAAAATTGGAAAATCTCAAATGTCAATGGACAGAACAGATACATTATAAGGGGTCATAAATGGAATTCTCCAAACAATGAAAAAGACTACTAATATTTATTATACAAAAGTATATAAAGCAAAACAAGCCATAAACAAAAGAAGACATAGTATGAAATTTCTTTTTTGTTTGTTTTTTTAAATACTGGGGATTGAACCCATGGCCTTTCCCTGAGCCAAATCCCTAGCCCTGCACATTTTCACAATCAGGCAAAAGTAATTCATAGTATTAGAACTCATGGCAGACAGTGTAGCTTGACCAGAAGACAGCCTTCTGAGGGGCTAGAAGCATTGATGTCAATGGTAACTGTGGGGCAAAATATAAGCAAATATTCATGTGTGGGTACCTCACTCTACAGATTATATATTTATATCCCAATGAAAATATTTCATTTTAGCAAGTGATAACTCACTATTTCACCATTAGATTTTGGGTGTGATAAACACAGATCATTTTTATTTTCTAATTTCCATGTTACCCAAATACCTAATACTTTAGGGAAAAATAACTCTAACTCATTTTATTCTTGAAATTTTATTTTCCTTGCCTCAATGCCAACTGATAAAATTAATAATCCATCTGTAATACGACAGACTTGTAAGACTAAGGTATTATAATAAAAGTCATGCTTGCTTCTTTATCAGTGTCATGGAGATAACGCTAAGCATCCTGCATTTCTCATATCCCAGCTGCTAGCTCACTAGGACTGTAAGCTTTTTAATGTATCTTATGATACAAAAATAATTTCCAGGTTTACCTTTCAAGTGACTTCAGATGGTAATATTTTCCATATGGCTTAGCATAGGAATAATCTGGCTTCCTTTAATGCTCATGCTAATTATAGGAAGCTTATTCAATTTAATGACTAAGTGTACTTTGTAATCCTAAAAATTTCATAGCCTGGAAAAGGTTTAAATCCTGAAGGAAAGTGTGTGAACTGTACCCTGGAGAGGTCAAGACTGTCATTTTAAGATGACAGGACAAGTCCTTTTTGTCGATTTTAAACCCTGTAGGGAGAGGGTTTTGAGGTTGCTGTTTTATGTCACTTAGCAATCTCCTACAGCTTAAGGATGCCAAATCCTCAGATGGATGAGCAAGGGATAAAGACAAGGACTAAAATTCACTATTTTTGCATTTAAATCCAGAAATATTTATTTATATTCTACAAACTTCTTAGAGTATCTTTTTTTTTTTTTTTTTTTGGCAGCTGAGGATCTCAATACAAACATTCTTTTGCTAAGTATTTTTGTTTACTGTGTGCTGGACAGTGTTTTATGATATGGGGAGGATGCACAAATAATCTTTTGTTTTTTCAGTACTGGTATTTGAATCTAAGGCATTCACAGTGATTTATATCTCTCCCCACTTCTTACTTTTTTTTAACTTTCATTTATTTTGAAACAGGGTCTCTTTATGTGACTAAATTGTCCAGACTGGGTTTGGTCCTGCAATCCTCCTGTTTTCAGCCTCCCAGAATGCTAGAATTACAGGCGTGCACCACACCTTTCTTTGAGACTTGCAATCTGACTAGGAAAAAATAGGTTAATGGTATGTAAAACAACAGGCTTGATGCAATAAATCATAGTGTGACATGGTGATGAGTTCTAAACTTCCAAAACATATTCCTTTGTGAAGATTAGCATGGCTTTCTGAGACTGTGGAAGAAACATGGGGGCCATGCACTGAGGGATAGGGTTGGGTGGATTTGAGGAAGCTAAGTGGACATTACAGGTGAGGGAAAGTAGCATCAAATTTCAGGCATTACATATTTTAAAAAATGATTAAAGAAATAGGACATGAGCCCTTGTAATGGTGTTAGAGTGATTGTTCTAGAATAAAGAGAAGACACCAAGTTCCACTCATCAATTCAGTAAGGTTTTGAAATTAGTGTTACCTGTGAAGCACAGATTCAAAAACCCTGAAAAAACCCAGTGATCACCTGACGGTCTTGCCTCAACTTAGGGAGAGGCATGTCTCTAAAATGTCCACTGGCTCACGGGTAAATGGCGAGTGTGTTGAATGTTTAAGGCTGGGTCTGTGGTTTAGGAAGAATAGATATATCTGACTAAGCCAAGAAATGCTTTGCCCAGAAGGTAACACTTAGGCTAAGAGTAATGAGTTCTTACTTAAGTAAAGGGTATTCTCTGAAGAAGATTCTAATAAGGGAAGGAAGGGCCTTGTGGCTAATATGGAGATGGCAAAAGGCAAGAGTGTGTGACCTGAGGCTAGGCAGGGTCTGGACCACACAGGGAGAGAGATACCTAGGAAAGAAATTTCACATTTCATGCTATAATCTCCTTGAAGGCCTTTTTTGTACGTGTGAACCTGTGAGTGTATGCATGTATGTGTGACAGAGAGTAACAGAAAAAGAGAGACAGAGACAGGCACAGAGAAAGTTTTGGAAGAACTGGCTTCAATGTAATGAGATGAACACGATACTCTGAGTAGATCTGGGGACTTCAGAATGAATGCAGACAGTGAAGAGATGCCTTTCAAGTAAGCCAGCGAAGAAAGCTGGATCCCAAAATCTAGATGATGCTGTAGGAAGCTATTATGATTTTTGAGTATGCTAATAATGAGTAATTAAGAACTAGTAATCTAACAAGGTTAATTAAACACAAGGAGGTCAGCAAAGCAGTTGTAACACTAATGTTAGAGAGAAGGGCCAAGAGCTTGGATTAGCTGTTAATCAATATGCAAAATCCAATATTCTTACTTAATAACAACAGCAGTACTTACTGCCATTTATGGAGTACTTACAACATTATGAACATATTCTAGTGTATGATATTCTATTTGGGTCTAATAAAACAATAACCTTCTAGGGTAAACATTATCCCCATGTTATACTTGAGGAAACTCATAAGTAAAGTCATTTGCCCAAGAAGCATAGTAATAGTGACTATCATCAAAAGTCAAGCAAAATCATCTCTCCTATAAAGATTTCCCAGCTGTTAATGACTTGGAAGCTCCAAAACATAAAGTGAAGCAGTTTTAAAGTGACTGTGAGTTTAAAGATGGCACAGGACAAAAGCCTGATATTTCTGGTCATCCTGATATGGACACAGGAAGGAAGAAGTGGTTTGAAGTCCAATTCTGGATGCCAGAGGGCAAAGTAAAAGTTCCCCAGTAGTGGGAAATGGGAGAGACGACAGAAGGTCTCTGAAGCAGTGGCCTCCAATGGCTATTTAAGGCTGGGGGTGGTTTAGAAGCCCCACCCCAATATGGCACAAGCAGCCAGCTGCAGGGGGCCTCCTATGGGTAGCACGCGAGCTCTATTGGGAAGAACGTGGAAGATCCTTTTTCTGAACTGATATAAAAGAGCTCTGTTATTCTGATTCCTACAATTCTGAAGAACAAATGAATGTACACTTTTGAAATAAAAAACACACAAAACTGACTGTATCACTTTCCACTTCTTCCTAAAACACCACTAATACTGAGCAGGTATTGAGTAATCATTAGTACCTTCTTGGTCAGAAGATACAGACCTTCCTAAGCAGAACCTAAGCAGAAGAAAACAATGGGAAACTACACATGTAATCCTTGCTAAGTTTTCCAATAAATGAAATTAGATGCTAGAAGTGAGAAAATTCCCAACACATTCCATCATTCTGCACTTGCCAGTTTTTATTTCATTTGCTTTAGATTTTCCTTGTCCTCTTTGACTGAACTTCACCATTATAAGTTACAACATTTTCAACATAATGTCTAATTTTTCATCTTTCCTAAGTTACAGATCCTATTAGTTTTTTGTTAGTTTTTAAAAACCACTTTATCAGTAGGAATGCTCAGTATCTAGACACTCTTGTTTTCTCATACTTGCACACACACTCTCATGCACACACAGTCCATCATCAGCTCCACCACACTCCCTTAGCCCCTACACTTCCACTCACTGCTGCTGTGTGTTTACATTTTCAGCAAGAACCGACTCCCCAACAGAGAATCCCAGAACAAAAAGGAGACAGAAAAGGTACCACTGTATGT